AACAGGACTGTATTCAGACCTAGATATTTGATCTTTTATTTTGCCTTTCAGAATATAAATAAATCGTATTTGGCGTAAATAAAAATAGAAGTTAAATGATATATTTGCAAATGCAAAACGGGTGCCTCTTATTCACACCCACCCTCATCCTTTCAGCGAGTGCGCAGTGTACATGTCACTTGATACTGTCGAACCAAATCTTCCCTTGGAGTTATATGATTGAAGTTTGGGCGATTCAATTTTACCACAACAGGTACAAGTTAACTTGGCTATTATGACTCTCTCTCTTTAAGAGAATGAATAATTATGATAAAATCGTTAACTGCTTTACTAAAATATATATACATGTTCCTCATTCTTTGTAACATTTTTGTCAAACAATGGAGCAGTGAAAATGTTCTGCATTATTTTTTTTTCTAAATTGAAAACAGTAAGTCAAATAAATGTGTTTTGACCAACATGTATAAAAATGTGTAGTATAAGTATTCTGTACTCCTATATTTATCTGAATACATAGTTGTTTTACAGGAAACTACACACAGTTGTTTACTTCTGAAGAATTGAGTTGTTTGCTCGTTAAAAGCGCATTTTTAACATATTGTAGACACAAGAAAATATTACTTTTATTGATTTTGAATTCCTGAACACTCTATATAACGTTACCAAATTTTGGTTTATGGGAGGATGTGCTGTTAGATCAATAACATCAGCTCACATATGTGCTGAAATTGCATCACATACGAATATAAAAGCCCACTGTGGTTCGTAAGTCAATATCTCTTCTTTTTAAACTTCATTTAGACAAATAGATACTTGATGAATAAAACTTTTTTCAAATGGCGATTACTTAGCTGAACAACAACAACAACAGCAGAAGCAAAAATAAAACACACACAATAAAACCGACGTCAAACTAATTTTATCTATATACCAGTGAGTGACATATTCTCCCCACCCCCCGCAAACCCTAGAGGCACATTAAGGAATATATGGTAATAAATTTGACAGTTTAATTTCTGGAGACATTGTATATATGATTTTGGAAACTTCAAATACGCTCAGCCATTAACAAAATTACATAGAATAATTAAAAAAGAAAACATTTTATTAAAAATTTAAAAGAATATTTGTATTATCATTTTCGACAAACAAAACAAAAACCTTTAAAAGTTCGTGATGAATTGTTAATCTGATTAAGATTACAGGTATCTGACGCGTTTTAACGTTTCTTGTTTACAGATCATAGATTTAACAAAAAAAGCTGCTTCGTGTATAAGAAAGTTTGGAAAAAATTTTCGCAAAACTGACTCAAGAATTAAACAGTGTCTATATAAGAAGTTCAAGTGTGTGTGTTTTTTGTCACAGGAAAGCCACTTCGGGCTATCTACTGTGTCCACCGAGGGGAAATCTAACCCCTGATGTCAGCGTTATAAATCCGTAGACTTACCACTGTCCCGCCGGATAACCTGTAGAAGAAGCTCAAATAAAGTGAAAAGATAAAAAAGTACTTGAACCTTAAATAATTACCTCATTATTGTATAACATAAATCTACAATACATACATTAAGAAACTCCACACAAGTAACTATTTCAATTTTTATAT